TAGTAGTGCCTGAGCGGTTTTGGAAAAAAGCCATATTTCTCCGGTGCTATCATACTATTGTTTGCTAGATATTGTATCAAAGCATCTGCGATGGTTGATTCAATAATTTGGAAAGCACAGAAAGCAGCGTTATCGGACGCTAATTGGTAGGTTCGTGGAGACTACCTTCCTTATGAATAGGAGTGATGACCCCTTGCTTCTATATTGGTGGAATTTTTTTATCCTCTAGACAGGCTGGTAGAAATAGTCAGTGGCTTTGCTACATCGCTGGTTACTGCATGCAAAGCTTTCGGCTAAATGTTATAGACTCCAGGTGAATTGTGGGTATGCAGAAATAACAACTTCTACACAGCTTCTGCAGTGAAGGGGACGCCGGATAAACCTGAGGGTGTAGTAATAGAAACGAGGAGAATATTTAAGCTCGTTACCCGCCGGAACGTCTGGGAGCTGGAGCCGTAAGAGATCGATTAATTCCATTGCCGACCGCGTGCACCCATCAGCCGTGGTCAATGCTGGGATTCCGCGCTTCACCTTACGAACGCAGTTAAGGTGCTTGTATCGGAGTTTACGGTTCGTGCAGAAACGCTTCACTAACTCCTGCAGATGCGTCACTTGTCCTCGCGGATTAATTTCACATAAAAAGTACCCTGTGCCATGTATACAGTTCAGGTGTCGGCATTCGAGCGGTCCTTGTGAGCTCGCCATGCAAATTGTTCAGAGCATACATTTACGTGTTCTGCTCCTTAGAAATGAATTGCTTTTGGTTTGGCGATGGAAGGACTGCCGTTCCAATCCTTGTGCTAACGTTGTGCTAAACGTCTTCGCGAAGGTTTCCTAAACGCCGTCTGGGGGTTATTCGGTTAAGAAGATGTATCCTTAATGAGCATGGGTAACACGTTGTGATGCGTGACCGTATATAGTTCATCGCCCTCCTTTTCAGGATATTCCGCGTAGCACATATAGTCAAACAGTAGAGCACCATGGTCAGTGCGGCCCAATAGTGTGCTTGCAACTGTCCCGTCGGTCATGCGTTCTTCGTTGCCGAGCACAAGCTCAAGTCTCAACGACTTGTTAGTAGTTCGAAATCTGGTGGGAGAAGTGACGCGGTTGTACAGGAGGTAGTTGAAAATTAGCTCTTGCGAACAGGCCTTAAGCTATACACCTTTAGTTGTAAGCGTTTCTATATCATGTACCTTAATGTCTCCAACGATAAGAATGCGGCTTTAGGACTTGTTAAAAGCAACCTGAAAAATGTGTTTCGCTTTTGACACTATTCCTGACATGGATTTTGATGGGCGGAAGTTACGACCACAACCATAGCCGGCGCCAAAGTGAATCAGGGGCGCGGATTTCTAGGTGATCGATAATGTTACATCGGAGGTTTGAGTTATCATAAGGAATTACACCACCACTCCTTACAGTTCTATCGTTCCGAAGCAGCAACATGCCGGGTAAATTGGTCTCAGAATCGGTTATCTCAGGGTTTAACCTGGTTTAGGTAATAATGGCGAGGTCCCGCGGTTTGGAGGCATGGCGTTCCCTTAGTTTAACCAACTCACTATGAAGGCCTTGAGCGTTTGTTTACAAACAGGATCATGTTTTGGATGTCAGAAGTGGATGGATATTAAATGGATATTAAATGTTTGTTTGTTTTTAATCCGACCTTTAGGTGGCCTGTCCCTAATCGTTTTTCTGGTTGGTCGTCAGTTTACGAGTTTCAGTTGTGCTGTGTGGCCTCACAGAATGTTCCATTTAAGGATGTTCATTCGTACTTTCCCCTGTCCTGTTGTGTGCTGTGGGCGTTGTTGTGTCGGTTTCTCCGCAGGACTGTGGGGCGAAAAAGTTTACTGTGGTCGCAACTTCCATCGAATTGTTGACCACTCGTGACCGTGCACCTCCTGCTTTTGGCTGGATCTCGGTTGAAAATCTGGCACGAAACGTTGACCAGTTATCCAATCGCACTTGCAGCATTCCATCGGAGTGTAGCACCACTTTCATTAATCTCGGACCGCAGCCCCTGTAGTTAGGTTACAAAGGAATTTTTATCAACGATTTAGCGATAACTTTGTCCAGAGAGAGTGAAACGCGGAGGTAGTAGCACTGCGCTTGGTCATGTGTTTGCGCATCGTGCTCCGGAGATCCCAGAAGCTCGGGAACACGATGAACAAATATAGTTTTCATGCTATCGTTATTATGAGGACTGCCTTGTTTATCCGCTTTCTTTGGCCGATCCTTCTAAGGAAAAGCAGATAATATACGCACCGCTCTCAGTGAATTTCAAAGACGAACTGCTGAAAACAGGACAGCCTCTGTCTCATCTGCTGAGGTCAGTTTTACTGAAGTATTCGAGGTGCATCTTAGTGCACTGGCATCGGGTGACGCACTGCGTGTCTCAGCATAGTGGGCTCAAGCTAAGTACCGATAGCGTAGCAGATGGGATTCCAATGGTTGCGTTCATCTAGCAACTAGCCCTTTATATTACCAGGAAGGTTATTGCACAAGAGGGGTAACGCAGCGTGATTCTACCTAGCGTAGGTCGGTTCGAGTTGTTGCTATTTTGGAGGCGCTACTAGAGTTGACAGTGAGGCTGCGTCGCCCCGCGTGTGCTCGGCACAGAAGATGGACCTACGGGTGCCTCTTGGTATGTTTATTGAGGCGATCAACGTGTACGTTACCCGTTTTTCTCTGCACCGGATAGTCTCCGGCTCTAAGCTGCCCGTGTCATGAGTGGATCTTTAGGTGTGGCTTCCATGAAATGGGTAAAAATAGTCACGTCGAATGCGGCTTGCACGATTAGTAGGTTAGGTTGTTTCAAAGTAAGTAGCTCAGATATCGTGCGTCGATTAGCAAGCCTGACTTTACTCTTTGACCTAAGTACGGAGCTCTGGGGGGTTACTGGAGGAGATGATCAGTTTTCACCGATTGCAGTGGTGTCTCACTGAAACACGCCGGCTGCTCAATTGTTTCAGCAACCTTTTCGCACCTTTACATGAGCACAGGTATACAATTGACACTTAGAATATTTCTGTATACCCAGCAACACCGGGGCGCGTCGGTCACATTGTTCAGCCACGTTAATTGTAACTTGCGCCGCCACACTTAGCGTGGAGTGCAAAGCGCAGTTTGAACAGGTCAGACTAGTTCTAATCACGTGGGTTCATTTCGATTCCCCACAGTTGCCGCTATGGGATCATTTCAGTGACGGGTGTTGTGACAACCAACACCTCACCTGCCCGCGCTCGTAAGGTAAAGGTAAGTGATACTCAAATTCGATGCTACAGTCACGCAGCTTATCTTGGTTATCGCAGGCGGGTCTGTCCTGAGGATGATGCGCAAGCACGCGCAGTTTGGCTAATTTATCGACCGATTTGGTTTCATTAAAATGATGAATAATCCCTTTTAGTCATGCAAAGATTGTGTAGCAAACAAGCACATTTCAACTAACTAAATAAATAAAAGGTATATTCTCGGAACCGTGAGGCACACCGTGAATCATTGTTGGACCAAACACATCACATTTAAATGGTTAATATAAGCAAGGATGGATTGAGTCATTGGAATAAGCTGTCACAATGCCCAAAGTGGATGTGATTCGCTCTCGCGGAATATACGATGGCCAGCTGTCGTCCAGGAAGCTCCCGCATTTTGACCCCTACATTTTCCAATAACTCAATCCATCCCTTCTTATCTTAAACATTTAAGTATGATGTATTTGGCCTACTGATGAATCACTAAAAACGAGTTTGCTTGCTACACTGTCTTTTCATGACGGTGATTAGTAAGGTTGGGTGCTTTAACTTGTCTGGTAGTTGGTGGATGCCAACGGCTGTCACCGTTTGGCGAATAAAATAAAAATCCACAAATTGGGTCGTTGCTGCTTTAGGAGTGGTCATGTAGGGGTAGTTTTTAGATCACCAGATAGCGCGGAGAAGTATACATCAAAGGCAATTTTGCAGCAGTGAGAGCTATTAATAATGAACAGGGTTTCGCCAGTAAAAATGATCATTTGAATTGCTAAAACAACTTGGGTTGCCATAGGGAATCATTTCATATAAAGTTACTCACTGAAAACGATAAATCGGTTCGACTCGAACGAGTGTATGATGATTGCGCTATGTGAAGATGGAGCAAGAAAAACACTTGACTCATCGCAACCGATGATTTCATCCGCTAAAAATTCCCCTGCACAGGTTCAGCCCCAACTTGGTAACATGTGCATGTAGTGTATTTCTCGTGCCACAATGTCAAAGTTGCAGCTCTTCCCATCTCCACTACCCGATCTAACTCTTTTATCACGTAAATGGGTTTCCGATTTCTAAGTCCACAACATAGCTTGCTAGATCTGTATGAGACCTTGATCTGTGTTATTGCTTAATCTTGAGAGCCTTAGATATGTGCATGCGTTGCAACAGTGGCGTTCCGTTGTTTGCTGAGCGCTACCTAACAGCCACATCTTCGAGTGTGCCTTAGTTAATGCCTAAGGTTAACTCTTTGGCATACCATGTAGGAAGCGATTAAGAAAACATAACTGTTTCTACTTCCGTACACGAAATAGATTGAAAATGTGTGACGGAGACGATGCGTCGTTTACCATCTGCAGTTGAGGATTGGTGATCACTCGACATTCAGAGACAGTCTGGAGTACCGAAGTTGCGTTTGCAATAGCTTACTTTTTGCAGGGCACGAGAGACACCATGTGGAGTGACATGCACACCAGCGAAGACAACAGAACGCCGACATTTACCGAAACGAGGTTAAAAGTCGAACGGGTGCCTCGGTAAGTTGAAAGCTGGAGAGGGACCTGCGATCTTGACTGTCAGTCATTCGAATGACTGACAACTCGAATGTCTGGATCACGGATGGTATCGACACATACAACCCATGTAGATCTCCTGCACATATGTGATTGCCGTATAAGTTGTGTTTTACGATCAAACACCAGTTATTTGAGCACTAACAATTAACATCAACATATCAGTGATCGTGTCGGTTCATTTTAGTCCGATCTCGTGGACAAAATCTGCCTGCACCGAGATATGCTAACCCCGGAAACATTTCAAACGTTGCAGAAGACTGTGGGATTGTATCGCGATTACGCTAATCTGGTTTCCTTGTGGAATAAACTTTGGCTGGCCAAGGTAAGCTACACAAGCAAACCACGTTTCTGTCATCCATTTAACAAATTCACGTCTTGTCCATTAGCCAAGACATCTTTCCCTGGCTAATGAACGATGCGCATTGGCTGCGAAGTAGGTCGCTTATTGCATATGCATTACTTAGCCTTTGGAAGTAGCTTAAGCCTGCCATGATTTGAAAATGGAAATGGACGTGCTTTGAAAACGGAAGTGCTCTGGTGCTTCAGCTGTAAATGTTATCGAAAACTGGAGGAGCGTACAGTTCTATTTTATTGAAAAATTTGCATAATATTTATCCGACTGCACTCTCCCACCCGCTTGCGTTTTGAATAACTGAAAAGACCGAGATTTGAGATATAAATGATAGCGATGAAAAAAGGTGCTAAGACAGAAAGCTAAGTATGTGCTGCATTACCTGAAACTGTGGCAACTAGACATTCTTCTGTCCCTTAACAGTCACCACGTTTTCCTCACATCCAGCGTCAAAAGTGTCACCGGTTGTAGGTGAGAAGCGGCGTCATTACACTGTAACGTAGCATTGAAAATGGTAACAAAACGCACAGAAAAGTCTTTAGGTGACTCATTATGCAGTTATACTATAGGTGCACCACTCTCTAGATATACCTGGCAGGTTTATTTCGGGCTCTGTGCTGCATTCCTAAGTTTAAATGATGGTGGTTCTTACAAGGCAATCGAATTAAGATGGCAGATTGCGTTGAATAGCTAATATATCATACTGCTCTCATGTCCACGAATAATGAAAGTCTGTTCGCGTATTATTTACCTATATCGCACTCACGAAACGCTTGGACCCATTTAACCTTTTGTTCGGCCATCACTACAAGTTATTTGTACTCTAACTAAGCCCTTGCTGGTTACGTTACGAATGCCCCAGTATTGACAACGCAAACAGTTAACAACAACAACAGCAGCAGCAGCAGCAGCAACAACAACAACGTCAGCAGCAACAACAGCACTGGCCATTTGGACCGATGCTTCGCTGCCATACAACCACAACGACCTACGGAACGAAAACTAATAAGAGGAAGAGAAAGGGACTTACCTGAAAACCGTATTACTCTAGGCAAACATTCAGGATCAAGGCGCCTACACCTTGTCAGCAATATACCCTCACATACAGCTGGCTATCGTGCAAGATAAGGCAGCATCAGCGAGACAGCTTCCGTGCGGCTTTCGCAGCTACGCTTCATAACCACTTATTACCCCGCAGATAACTCAGCACCAGACACACTTTCAACAGGCAATCCGATTAGGAGACGGCAGCAGACGCGCCACTGGTGTCGATTGCTAGCCATATCCAGTCAATTCTCTAACCAAGCACAAGGCGAGTGACGTGGACTCTATCGTGTAAGGCGAGACGGACCGACGGCACCCAATTCAGCCATCAGTGACCACATTTCCTGTTGCCAAGTTACTTTTTGTCCATCTCGGGCCTTGCACTACCCTACATCTGGCAGACAAACAACGCCCTCTTCGGTCAGCGGTGACCAGACATAAGTAGTAGGTGCCCAAGCCAACGCAACATATTCCCTGTTACCTGTTGTTTTAAGGATCTATCTTGATTATGACTACCTAGCACTCGCATACGCACATTATCGTTGTTGACACGCTGATGCCATTCGACACCGGCGGTGCTTCGCAGGTAACTATGAGCAAAGGCTTGAATGCGTCGCGGATCCTCCGATCGGAGGGACCAAGTCTCACTTCCACAGAGCAGGATGACCCTCACTGTGGCTCTGTACACACGGTTTTTCAGACGGAGGTAAACCCCTTTCTGACACCACAGGTGTTGCGGATTCGAAAAGGCAGTTCTAACGTTTACAATGCATGAACTGACCAGTTGCTATGTGCCCAGTATCGCGGATGATGCATCCGCAACCACCTCGAGTTCCTCGTTCTCAGGCAATTGTCCATTTGTTCTCCGAGCTTGGCGGTTTTCTCGCAAACGTTTCACCACCATGCGAGGTAGCATCTTCAGTGCAGTGATAGCAGCGTCAAGGGTACATCAATTGAATGGTGGGCTTGCAACAAAACTTTACACTTTGAAGGTGCGGAGCGCATGCCGAGTGATGGGGCCACTAGAGAGTTTATTCAGGGTTGTTTGAGCCTCTCTCACATCGTCAAAAAGCAGGATAGTATCGTCCGCATGATCGAGATAAACTAGCCTTTCACCAGGCTGCATCTCAACGTCTGCTTTGTAAGATTGCCCAAGGGAACACTCAATGATTTAGTCCACGACGAAATTGAACAGAAATAGGAAATTTTACAACCCTGTCGAACACCATTGTTGTCGGGAAGATACCCATAAGTCACGTAGACCCTGACGCGGTCTGTGTTGTTTGAGTATAGAGCACGTAAAATGTTCACATCTTTCATGAGAACACTTTTCCGCGTAAGTATTTTGAACAAAGCGCACCGATTGATTGAGTCGAACGCACTCTTAAAGTTGAGGAACACAACTACTGCAACTCTGCGGTACGTGTGGCGCGGCTCTAGCACCTGCCGCAAAGTGAATATGTGGTCTATACAACCCGGTTTTTAGCGGAACCCTGATTACTTTTCTCTTACCCTGGATTCCCGTTCCGCAGTGAGACGACGGACGAGAATTGAGGCCAATAATTTTGTTACAACGGGCTTGTGTTAAAACCCCTGTGGTTAGCATAGTCGGCGCATTCCAGTTGGCGGGGATGGTCTCTTTCTTCAAGGCGTGTTCGAACAGGTAGGTCAGCGCTTTGCAGAGGACCACTCTCTCATCCTTAAAATGTTCAGCCAGGATGTAATCCGGGCCAGCAACAGGAAAACGATTAAGAGCTGTGATCGCGTTTCGGACCTCAGCCTGCGCTGAATCATGTAAACTAACCCGTCATGGTCCAGGCTGCACCACCTGTGCGGCAAGTTGTCCGAATTGCTCGTTTGCTATGCACTCCGTCGGGAGATAAGTCAAAGCATTGTGTGTAGTTACCCGGATCGAACTGAAAACCGCATTATTCGAATGTGAAACGCAATGTGAACAGCAACCAATATTCTGAGCTATTTGTGTCGTTTCGTTAACGGTGTTGCCAGCCGTTCTCTTCAGGATTGTGGCAGCAGTTATTGAGGAGGCCTGGGTTGCACATTTCGCTATGCTTACCTCAACTGTGGCGATTTTGGCGGTCAATAGTTCCTTAAACTTGGCTAGTAGCTGGTCGTATTCCGGAGATAATAGGAGAACACTTTTTATTAGTGGGATAGACGTGCATTCCACGCAGAAGCAGAGAGACTGGTCAGTTTAATAAGTTGACCTGCCTAGCTTTCGCGCGGACGCACATCGCATGGAAAATTCCGCCCCAATTGTGACACGAAACATCCTCTTTGACAAATTTGGCGCATAATTCACACATGTCTAGCTGAGGCGTCGCGCACGTTGAGTGAACGTTATGAACCAGTAGGATGATGCACCACTGATGGTTAGCAGTTTTTCTCATGTTGCTGACATTGATGCCTACGTCACAGCATTCACTTCACACTTGCGTGTCGGTTGAATGCGTCTGCATGCTTATGAGGCTGGTCACATGAGGCTTCGGTAGAGAATTTTCGTGGTTAAGCCTACGCACCTCCTTAAAGTCAACTTGCAGAGAGAGACTTCTAGGGGTTCGCCGTGGCGAAGTGTAAATTACCCTGGACTTAAACAGATAGGAGTTCGTTCGTAAGCCGTTTAGATGCTCTATCAACTAAGCCCGAAGTATGTCTACAATGGTTGTAATTACGCCACTTTTGGGACTTGGATATGGACGAAACCCTACCCGGAATTTAAGGTAAATGTAGGATGCACTGTGATGTATTTGATAAGAGGGTATCACAAGTTAGAGATTGTAAAAGCAAGGCGAACAAATATAGATTTGGTGGTGTGCATCAAATTGCGGCTGAGAAACAGCGGAAAAAGCAAGTGTGCAGATGTGCGATTAGCATGCACGTTGGGGTCCAGTCTCGTTGTGACTGGGTAACTCACCAGAAATGCACTGTATTTGTTACGCTGATTCTGGATGGACTCCATGAGCAACTGTCGGGCTTAATCCGACTTACTGAGTTAGTCAAACCCGTTAAGCCATTCAATCATAGACCTCGCAATCGTCTCCAAGTCTTTGACACTCCTCTCGGGTCTTCTGTGTTCGCGAGCGGAACAAAGTGAATGTGTTACGATGGAGGTGCGAAGCAACGAAAACAGAAATTAAAAGGCAGACACAGCAAGAAGCCAGATGGTTAGGTGTATCAGGGACTAGAAACGCTGCTTCCTTGGGGTGCGCTTGTTTGCTGTGTTATTTCCTTTGTGCCCAGTATCTCGTTTCGCCTTGAGTATTACTTAAAATGTCATCCCATTGTAGATGTAGGTGTTCTCGGTTCGGTGTTTCAAACGATCACAAACTTGGATACAATTCATGATTGAAGTACCTGAAACGTCGCTAACATATACATTGGTCGGTTACGACCATTTTCCGTACATATGTACCCCACGACACTCCTGACTGGTTATCAAGTGTTTGTTCCACCAAAACGTCTTTTGCAGAACTTTTCTCAAACGCCTGTTTAATTCTATGCTCACAAACCTTGCGTTTATTCACATCTGCTTGTCCCTGTCATCTGAGGTGTCTCAAGGGACGACACCACGAGCGAAATCTTTTCAGATGTCTTGATGTTGTTTCCTGGTCTGGTTGATTCACTAATAAAGCAGACTACAGTTGCAACTATCCTACCTCCTACCATCTTATAGCTTTAAAAGACACTATTGAAGCGCATTCTGCTCTCTGGAACATATATTCACTCAGCTTACTCCAAGGGTTAATAGGTGATGTCCTGTTTGCCTAGCCTCACTTCCGAATCATAATGACCTTGTGTTAGCATAAGTACTGGGTTGCATTATTCCAGCCGGTGTTCACCCAAAGATGATGGACAGATCCTCTTGTCGGTCTGAAGGGTAAGACTGAAATTAATCTAACTCTTCATTGCTCACACATTATAACATACCAGCGACCTTAGCTCACGATGTACATAGCTGTCACATGCATTGATCATTTATGCAAATTTGGCTTTAGTGTGTCGCATCTGATGCAAACTCAACTGAGACACATCTGGCCGCGGCCACTGATCGGTCCAAGTCGTAGGCATATCTGCCGTCATTAGCAGGCGCCTAATGCAGCCTCTTTAGAACGCATATATTCTATTAGCAATGTGTTCACGTCGTTGGAGGCTACTCCATGGTTGACTGAGTGACCCGTTTTGTTTACTCTTATTTCCCATTTAGGACCGGGACGGCCTGATAACTTCATCTGAATTATTCATAGACTATCTTCAAAGGCACAGAAGAGAGGAAGGTGAGCACTCAGGTCTTGTTTTCTCCAATTTGTAACCCATCCAGCGCGTAACAATTGTTACCGCTTAGGTTAAAATTCGTTAACATTCAGCTTTAAACAAAATTAAGCACGCAATGACAGGTCTCCTGAACCCATAGGCCAGTTTGATGAAGTCAAGCGATCCACGATGCGGGAAAACGAGGTCAGCTCACTGTGCTATCACCTAAAACACATGCAGTGAACGTCAGCAATGACATTTTTAAAGGGTTACGCTCTTTCTTACTAGTAAAGTACATAGCACTGGAATGCCCACAAATACATTTGTTGTAACTAATCGTAAATAGTTGTCTTCCTATTTTATGTTGGTCTGCTAACAATAACCTTAAGAACTGAGCAATGCTTGGTTGTGCACAACAGCTATGGCTTCTTGGTGGGATCACGAAAAGACCGCTCAAAGGCATTAAAAGTAAGGCTAGGATTATTCATCTCAATGAACAATGATTTATAACGGGTAGAAAAGCAGGTGCTTGACATGTCCCGTAGGGTGGTTAGAGTGAGAAAAGATAGATCATGGGATAATGGAATCGGCGGTTCGGGCGATTACAGATTTAACTGCACTACCGTATAAAGAGAGTTTGAAATTACAATGTGCGCACACAAAGCGATAAGGAGAGTGGTTATTGATCACGTAGCAAGCGAGAAAATATAATAAAACATAGCAAGAACAACGCTTACTCGTCGGCAGCTATCTCGGGTCGACGAGATCCAGAAATCCCGTTCCTACAGTTGTAGTGTTTATCAAGTTGTGTGCAAGAGGTTTGGAGCGACTCATTATCGAGTAGGATTATGGCACCGCCCACTGTCTGTTGTGTATTAGTGCCAGCATCTGGTGGTCAGGGGCTATAGCACGTAGTGTAAATGTGACAGAGTATCGTCAAGGTGTCTTTTGAAAAGGTATAGGGAGGAAGCATTAACTACATATTCCAGGAAGGCATTCCAAGACTGTGACACTCGCAGGGAGAAAAAGTTTCGCCGACATTCCGGTCGGCTGTACTGCGTGACCAGCTTAAACTGATGATCCCTTAGTTGTTGTGGAGTTCTCCGAGCTGGGAAACTTGACTGCAAACGTATCACCACCATTCGAGGTGGCATCATCAGTGCGGAATTGATAGTAGTTAAGCAGAAGTAGCTGGTAGAAAACAAACCAAGTAATAATGATGACCCTTAGCGGGGAGTTTTGACTGAGTATCAGAAGGGAATGGCATGGGTGGTTGGGGTTTCCCAGGATCAGGTACACCATTATGAGATCGCCCCTTAAACGCCGATAACGTCCACTGTATACTTTGACAGTCTTCAGCCTGAGTGGGTAGAGGAGGCTGGTCAAACCTCTGACGCTCTTCCTTGCCCTACGTTGTGCAGCATCGAGAGCGGTGAGATGGTGCTTGAGCCAGGGTTGCCACGCATGAATAGCGTATTCCGCGTGCGACCTCACGTACGCACTAAGCATTTTTTGAAAGACTGTAGGGTCAAACTCTCCGAAAGCTCTGCGAAGTAGGCCGAGGTACTGGTTTGCTTTCTTAGATGCCTTTTCAATCTGCCTCAAACAACTGAGGTCCTCCCGAACTAGCGCGCCGAAATCGCACTCGTGAGAAGCCCGCTGTAGAATTTTTGGTCCTAGGCGGTACTTGTGCATACTCTTGTGCCGTATGCTGAGAACTTTGCAATTGAGGACATTGAAATGCAGCATGTTCTCGATGGACCCTGTGTACGCTTTGTCCACGTCCTCCTGTAACGCTGTGTGATCCTCCATTGCAGCTATAATACGCCATACCTTTAGATCATCAGCAAATAGCAAACAGTTAGAAGATAGCACGCTCGCGAGATCATTTATGAAAACCAGGAACAGGCGGGGTCCAAGTATCGAACCCTGAGATACGCCGCACTGAACTTCGATGGATTCCGATAGGTTGCTTCGAACCTTCACATTCAGGTGACGTTGAATGAGAAAGTCTCCTATCCAGCTCAGAACGGGATCCCCGATTATATATTTTTGGAGTTTTTGGAGTAGAATGCGATGGTCTAGAAGGTCGAATGCCTTTGAGAAATCTAGGTATGCCGCGTCGACTTCTACACCAGCGTCCACAGATTCCGTCCAGCTTGCACGAGCAATCAACAGACTAGTGGTACAGGACCGATTTTGGCGAAATCCGTGCTACTTCGGAGCAAGAATTTTGTTGTTCTCCAAGTACCTCATCAAAGCTTCAGTCACAATGGACTCCATAACCTTGGAGATCGCAGGAAGTAGGGTTATCGGGCGATTATTTGTTGGTTCAGGACGTCTGCCACTTTTGTAGATTGGCGTGAGGATCCCGTGCTTCCACAGCATGGGGACGTGTATCTCGTTCATACATCGTTGAAAGAAAATTGCTAGTGGGGCAGCCAAACTCATGGCAGCAACTTTCAACGCCTTCGGGCGAATGCCGTCCGCACCCAGGGAGCTGAACTCGCGCAGAGACACTAGCTTCTTCAGTACAGCTGCGGAGGTAAATGATATGTGATTAAGTCCTGATGGCGGCATTATCTGCTTAGGCAGGATGTATGATGATTACACGCTTTGGTAGGTACGGCCAAATTGTTGTTCTAGAACGCTGACCGCCTCTTGTGCGGTTTGGGCTAATCCGCATGCTGTGTGCAGAGCAGGAATACCGCGCTTAACACGGCGCAAATTGTTTACGTGTCTGTATAGCAGTTTGGGATTGGAGCAAAACTTTTCCACTAGACCTTGTTGCTTCTTCAGTTTATCCTCCCGGACGAGTTTGACACAGTGATTCCTTTGTATTGTGTAGACATCCCAGGTATCGTCGTTCGGGGAGGTTATGTAGGTGTTCCATGCCGTCCCTTAATGCCATGCATTTACGTGTGCTGCTCCTTACGAACGACTTCACCCTTTTAGGCCAGTGGAGTTTGGTTTCAGATGTCCTTGCCACGACCTTGGTAAATATGTTGACAAATTCTCCGCAGGCCACCTCAGGGGTTAATTCAGCTAAGGACGACCGGCTGGTTGCATCAATGAGGTCAGACATGTCGTCATAGTTGGTTACGACGTGATATTCCTCGGTATGCTCTTTAGGATAATCCGCGTAGCACATGTAATGAAACAATAGCGTCGCATGATCACTGCGGCCCAAAGGAGTATCGGTTATCACTCTCTCGACCATCAGTTTTTCATTAATGAATATTCGGTCCAATATGGATGGCCTATTAGTACCCCTGAATCTGGTGGGCGTAGTGACGTGGCCATAAAGCGGGAAGTCTGAAACCAGATCTTGCAGCTCTGCTTTGAATTGCTCTCCTGGTATGGCCTGGGATTCTAGAGCAGGTAAGTTGAAGTCGCCGGTGACTAGAATGTGACTGTACTTCCTGTTTACCACGCCTCAACGCAACCACAAGTTGCAGTCCATTTAAGGAGTAGACGATGGGGGAGGTAAACAACAACCAATAGGCCAAGGTCATTCCCTCTCAGCCGGATACTACACCAAATGGAGTTAGGTACGTCGGTTTCCGAATTGTTTATGGGTTCGTATTGAAGGTTATTATGAAAGTAGAGGACTATCCAACCACCTTTGCTGGCTCGATCCTTCCGGACAACGGACATGGCTGTTAGCGCGATTTCCGCATCCGTTATCTCACAGCGCAACCATGTTTCGGTGACAGCGATGAGATCCCAAGATGCTGACGTGTCGAAGTCTTAATTCAGCTAATTTGCTGAGTAGACCTTGGGCATTTGTGTACATGCATGAGAGCTTCTCGGAGCTCAAAAGTGTGTTGGATTGGATGGATGAAGCAAGTGAGTTTACGCAGACTAGTGAAGAGTCGGCGACTAATCGTTTTTTGGATAGGTTGCAGACTATCGAGACGAATTTGGTATGTAATCAAGTATCAGATGCCCTGGATCCCGGTGTTTGCTTTTCCTCTGCCGTGTCCCTCCGAATATTATGGCTACTGTTGAAACCGTCCCCGAGTCGGGTCCTGCAGTTGGCGTTTTCATTAAGAGTTGTGCCTCTACTGAGTTGTCATTAGAACGTGCTGGTGTTCCCGCTGCTTTCAGAGCAATTTCTGTTGGCAATCTACTTCAAAATTTAGTCTGGTTCTCTAGAAGGCTTGTGCCGTTAATTCTGATTGCAACGCAAGTTGTAACAGCCTGGGACTGCACCCCCTTATAGTTTGGTGATATGGGGATCCTTGTCAACGGGGTGGCCACGACAGTATAGAGAGAGAGAGCCTCCCAGATGTAGTGCCATTGCGCGCGGTCGTGCACCTGAACATCGTCGGAAGAGAAATCTGTAAGCTCAGGAACACCGTGAGCAATCACTGTTTTCTTAGTTTGAAATTTCTGTACCTCCCTCTGTTAGCGGGATTCGCTGAACGTTCTTTCCAACGGCATTTCACGTAGTATGCGCACTCCACTCTAGTCGTTGCGGAGACGATTCGCAGACGGCAGAACGGCCTCAGTCTCGTCCGCCGAGTTTAGTGTTACCCGAAGTGACCGGGGTTCACCGTAGTGCAACGCGTTTGGGTGATGCGAGGTTCTTTTTAATGACGTGGGATTAGCATGGACACCGATCGACGTACAGATGGAACCCCAATGATTTCGATCGTCCGTCAACCTACCCTTAATTTTATTGGATTTGCATTCGGGGACGTTTGTGCACACAAGGTTTAACGCACCATGGTTGCGCCTGGTGGCTACTGGTTTTGAATTTGGAGCCTTAGTATCCGGTGTTTTTGGTGAATTTGTGAACGGCACTGATGGGTGCCATCCGTGCTACGACACTTTCGTGTTCTTTAGTCCAGGCACAAAGGTTATCGGTGCTCTTTCCGGTGTTTGCTTGGCGGCAACCAATGCATACGTTGCCGGGTTGATCACTATGGCTGGTTGACTATAGCTTACGGTCTCGCGTGTAGCGAACAGACTACTAGGTGCAACACACTGGACAGAAGTTGAGGCAGGCGCGCTGCAG